CACAGGAAATGATTGCTGCAGGTAGTCGTGTACTGAATATAATCTTCGTTTCGTAATTTACCGTTAGTCAAAACACAAGTTTTTGTTAGACACTACCTCCGACATTTGTTGTTTTCCTTTGTTCGCCGAGCGTCGATGCCGTGGCAATTATGAGTTACATGCCGCAATTAATTCCATTAAAACCATTTTCGCATCATTTTCACACGACTTATTATGGTTTCCTGGTGAACGCAAAGAAATGTGCACTTGACAAAGTTTTTGCGCCATGAAATCTCCACTGTAGGCACAATACCTCTTCCAGACCGAGTTGATGCGTTTGTGGCGGCGAAGAGGCTAAAGACGAACGGCCAAAAAGTCATAGCTTCCTCTTCTATTTAACACATTTTCCTCTCTTATCCCAAATTCGATTCCACGTTCGAATTCTTTAGTTAAAGTTGTCTTATCTAAACGCGTACTTGCAACAAAATTTGTTTACAAAATTAGTTAACTTTTAGCGATAAGCTCTTATCTATCACCGGAGAAAAACATGAGATAAACTTTCTAAATATTCCGCAAATAATTTCAAGATGTTTCTTATCTTATAACACGTAATTTATTTACCATTAAATAAACAAATTATAATTCGACTAAACAAAAAATAGTCCAAATCTACCTACCTTAAAATGACAATTATGTCATAGAAATGTCATTTATAATTGGTAACTTACGATTCGCACATAAAAATATTTAGAAACCGCTAAGCTTTTTCAATAGTTGTTTAATGTTTGCAAGAGTTTCAAAAGTCAAAAGGGAATTTTAAAAAATCCGAAATTACCTTTAGTTAAGCACGGTGAGCTCAGGCAAACTAGAGATGGGTTGGTGTGGTTAAGGGGTTTTGTTCTACGGCCAGTCAACAAAGCAAGAATAGATAAGAAAACCGGATAGGCGCCACATAGGCTTATAAAAAAATTAAAAAAAAGACAGAAAACACTTACTGAGGGGGAACAAGCTACACTATGAGATCCTTGTTCCATTCTTGATAAAGCTAAAACGTGAATAAATTAAATGGGTTGAGCATAAACGCCATAAACAATAACTGTAGTCAGAGAATAACTGAAATCAGTCGATTATTTAATTCAAAAATACAAAATATAGCAAATGGTTTCCAAACGTTAACAAATAGTAGTTGAAAATATATGAGTTTTACTCAAAATCAAAATTTAAATTCAAAAGTACGTTACAAAAAAAGGGATAAACCCGTATATTCAAGAAGATAAGAACAAAGTAACAGGAAGAAAAGAAAATAAACCAGAAAATAATAGTTATTTATGCATCACGGTCATTAAGGCGATATTTATGCAGAGGGTGACAGAGCCCGAGGGCCTCCGGCCCGAGGGATTGTGAGTCGCCCGAGCGTTTAATATCGAGAAATGCCTGAGGCGCATACAAAATTTTATTTTTCATAATTCCAACTAATGCATTTCCAATATACAAATGTAATGATTATTGTTTGACCAACATTAAAGTGCTCCACACGAATCAAGTAACATCTTTTTTGATTACATAATATAACTCCATCAATATTTATGCCCTCTCATTATGCCCTAGGGCTTCATAGGCTGCTTTATATGTCTCATATGACAAATATAATTGGCATATAATAAGCAAATGAAAAATAAAAGCCTAAAAGGATTAATCAGTGTTAAATCAAATATTGCGCAACATCACATGAGCTCAAAAATCCGCAATAGCGTCAATGAAGCGCAATCACAAGAGAAAAGATTTACCAAAAATATCACAGGGCTATTCAATCCCTTTATTAAAGATAATGACGAAATTTGTCAAAGCCAATATGACAGCGTGTTCTTCTTTCTTACAAATCACGATCGAATCTGTTCTTCAGTACAGGCACGCAAGCGTTAAGACGAGTGGGGAACAAATTTAAAATAGTGAATCATCATGACCTCTAGCGGAAGAATAGGAAACTAGGAAATAAACACTCGACCAACTACAGCGAACTTGCACGAGAAATACACAGATGGCGCAACGGTTCCTAAAGGGATTATAAATTGAAAACTGAATTTAGAAAAATTTTTACAAATTTAAAAATTAAAAAAATTCGAAAATTTAAAATTATGATATGATTAAATTCATATTTAGAATTAGAAAAATTTACAGAGCTGTAGAAGAATAAAGTTCCTAGAACACAAGAACTTTGCATTTTGCATCAAAAATAATTTCGTATATGACAGCAAAATTGTTATCCATTGTCCTCAACAATGGAAAGGCATCTTTCGGCGTCGCCTCACCTTTTTTCCCAAAAATATTGCAGGCAACGTGATTCCAACTGGTACTACAAATAAAGCGAACCATTGCTGTTTAATAATATGTACAGGGTGAGTTCAAATAAACATCTTCCCGAAAATCCTTCACACTATCGACAGGAGCCTCCCCTGAATTCTATACATATATTCAAATACGTATCAAAGGGCTCCTGGATCCTTCTCGAAAAAATAAATTAATTCTTTTTGCCTATGCGTGCGTTAAACCTGGGGCACGCGGTATGTGGAAGAATGTTTAAGCATACGTCGATATACTTTTGGACATTTACACAAACGTGATCGCAAAAAAATGACAGGCTTCGCTTGAATAAGAGATGAAGTATGTTTGTACGTACGTAATAAATAAAAATTAAGAATGATACATCATGAACCATAATCACTGATAAAAATTATTAAGGGGTCCAGAACGTGACATATTGTGAGGGAACGAGATAGCTGAAACAGCCATAACCGAAAGCAAGTTATTTTTTCTGTCCTGCATCTTTTATATCTACTAGTTCCTCAGGCAAATACTGTTTTTGTGTAATTATGGATAATTCCAGAAGTAAAACCCTGATAATCTGATTGAACGTATCGAATCGCTTACTTGACCAGTCAATTGCATCTCCTTCTCTCCACTAAGTTTTAGGATTTCGAAATTCAGGGGCCAAAATTGTATGAGAAAGTGTTTGATCGAGTGCAATAATTGAGTTATGAGGGATCACTCCCAAGACTTATCGTGGCCATTGATCAAAATGCTGTTTATTCATTTCGTCGTGGTAATTCGCTGAACTTTTCTTTCCAAGGCTCCAGGTCGTTTAATTCCTCCTCAGCAACCATTTATTTCTGGAATGGTTCCTTGATATAGATTTTTTATACTCTCCCTAATCCTGTACCAATTTTTTCCGGAAATGCTAAATGTTGTGACCATTTTTTACATCATAACTTTTACACTGCTTAACAAATTTTCGATATCGCCGATCTGAATCCTCACGTTGCCAGTTGGTAAAAGTGCAATAAAAAGAAAATTACATAAATATTTACAAATGCGAACTTCGCATTTTCTATTGCTCTGCGAGAGGTATAATCTACCATTTACAATTTTAATAAAATCCGCGATTCCGTTTCGCTTCCGTAAAGAGTGGTCCCGGTTATGCGAAATTACGGAATTTTCGGGCAATATTAAATTTAAATCGACAGTGGAACAATATGAACAAAATGGTATCGCCATAAAAAATCGATTTGCCTTTCAGCAGACAACACGATCTCCATTAACGAAACGAACAAATGTCAACGATGCCATTTATAAATTATTTTACGTTTCGACTACTTTTGTAACAGCATCCATTGGTCATAAATATCTGAAGATTTCATTTACATTCGTAATGCCATTGCATTTATAATTTATTGCATTGGCCGATTGCTGCATTGCAGTGGCGTAAAACTACAATAACTACTCACGTTATATGGTTATAGTAATAACTATAACAGCTGTACTGATAACAAACTCCTTCGTGGTAAGTGGCTTATAGGAGACATTTCCACATTCGCTTCTAACGGCGAAGTTTAATTTTGTTTCGTGATTTTTATACACAAGTGACTGCAATTTCCATTCTATACTCCTGTGCGCCTCTTTGCTCCATAGTAAGTTCAAATAGCTCATTGGACAAGAATAATAATCCATTACGATTAAGTAGAAGATTGTTTATTAATAAAATCTGTTTGATTTAGTTTTAAGTTGAGATAAGACACATGTGGTGTTGATAAGATCCGTATTATTTACGGGATGAGGGAAAACTAAAATCGATTACATGACAATAAAATAAGGCTTTTTGTTTTGATTTGAACCTCGAA